TATTATATTATTAACAACATGGCACATTATAACATTATATTATTAACAACATGGCACATTATAACAACATGGCACATTAAAACAACATAACACATCATAACATAGCACAGTATAACAACACACCATATTATAACAACATAACACATCATCACCTAGCACAGTATAAACACATAACACATCATAACACAGCACAGTATAACAACATAACATAACATATCATAACATAGCACAGTATAACAACATAACACATTATAACACTGCACAGTATAACAACATAACATAACACATAACATTGCACAGTATAACAACATAACATAACACATCATAACATAGCACAGTACTACAACATAGCACAGTATAACAACATAACATAACACATCATAACATAGCACAGCATAACAACATACCACATTATAACATTGCATAGTATAACAACATAACATAACACATCATAACATAGCACAGCATAACAACATACCACATTATAACATTGCATAGTATAACAACATAACACATTATAACATTGCACAGTATAACAACATAACAGCACAGTATAACAACATAACACATCTTGACATAGCACAGTATAACAACATAACACATCATAACATAACATAACATTGCACAATATAACATAACACATCATAACATAGCACAGTATAACAACATAACACATTATAACATTGCACAGTATAACAACATAACATAACACATCATAACATAGCACAGTATAACAACAAAACATAACACATCACATTATAATGCAACATAATATATTGTATTATATTATGTTCTGTTGTCCTGTGTTCTGTTGTATTTTAATTTTTTTATGTTATGATGTATTCTATTATATTAGGTTGTGTTATAATGTGATCTGATATAGTATCATGTGTTATGTTACAATGTGTTGTATCATGTTTGATTGTGTTATAATTTTTGATACTATATTATGATGTGCTATAATGTGCTGGGTTATGATGTCTTATGAGTTATGATGTCTTATAATGTGTTTTATTAGGATATGTTGCGGTATAATTTGTTTTGTTGTTCTATGTTATGTTACGATGTATAGTGTTATATCATGATTAGTTATGTTATAATGTATTGTGTCATGTCATTACAATGTGTCATGCTATGTTATTTATGTTATGTTGTGTTACAGTGCATTGAGTTATGTAATGTTGTTTCATTATGTTGTGTTGTAATATGTGGTGCTATGATATTGTTTGTTATAATATGTTATGTTATAATGTGATGTCATGTTAGGGTGTGTTATAATGTGTTGTATAGTGATATGTTGTGATGAGTGCAGTGCTGTTGTGCAGTGATATTTTGTGTTGCAATGTGTTGTGTTGTTAATACCATATTGTTAGTGTTACCATATTTTGTGTTATTCGCTTGTGTCGATCATCAAGCATTGGCCACTTTGATCGCAGAGAGTGCGCATCAGTGTTGATCATTGGGCATAAGCTAAACCGATCGTAAATCGCGTGCGCTTGTGTCGATCATTGGCATCGGCCACTTTGATCGCAGAGAGCGCGCTTCTGTGTTGATCATTGGGCATTGGCTAAACCGATCGTAAATTGCGCGCGCTTGTGTCAATCATTAGGCATCTTCCACTTTGATCGTAAAGATTGCGTATCAGTATTGATCATTGGGCATCAGCTAAAACGATCGTAAATTGCGTGCGCTTGTGTCGATCATTAGGCATCGGCCACTTTGATCGCAGAGAGCGCGCATCAGTATTGATCATTGGGCATCGGCTAAAACGATCGTAAATCGCGTGCGCTTGTGTCGATGATTAGGCATCGGCCACTTTGATCGCAAAGAGCGCGCATCAGTGTTAATCATTGGGCATCATCTATATAGATCATAATGCACGTGTGTTTGTGACGATTGCCAGGCATCAATCGTAACTTACGTGTGCCCGTGTTGATCATGCAGCATTGGCGAGGGTTACACTTCCGTTTTTAGCAAGCATATTGGCAACTTTCTTCCCTGGCGTACTGGCGTACATCCCAAAACGAACCTCCGGCGTACACGCTGCACCTTCCTGACCATGGCTCTAATGTCCTGTATTTTTTTTATAGAAAAAATTGTAGTTTGCCCTTTGCAATTTGTAAACATGTTGCTTCATAATATTTCCAGCTTCCACAATCTGCATTACTAACAGGGTTACTATACGGTTACAGAACTATACGCAGCTTACACAACTCAAACAGCAAACAAGAACACACCCACGCAGCAATCACCACCAATACAGACAACATCCCCACCAGACAAGCACAAGCAAACATCCTAATACAACACTACACAAACATAAGTAGGTTACCCAAATACAAAGAAGACAGACGCATCATCAGACGCAAACAACAATTTCCACTAGACCCAACAGCTACCCTAGCCACTACAAACAACACCAAAAGGGTCATACAACAAATTAAAAACTCTTCCGCTGCTGGGCCCGACAACATCACAAATGTACACCTTAAAAACCTTGGCCCACACAGAATCACGACACTTACAAACATTGCCAACTTCTCCTACTCACACTCCAAAATACCATACATCTGGAAAATTGGCAAAATAATAACACTTCTCAAACCCAACAAACCACCCACTGAGGCCGCCTCATACAGACCAATCACACTACTCTGTACACCTTCAAAAGTCATAGAGCGCCTCATACTGAACACAGCCACTCCGCACATTACACTTTCTCCAACACAACACAGATTCAGACCTCACCACTCGACCACAACACTACTCACAAACCTCACACAGAGCATAAACGATGGCATCAATTCCCGCAAACCCGCACACAGAACACTACTACTTACAATAGACATCAGTAAAGCATTTGATGCCATCCCTTGCCTCCCTCTCACAAACAAAATCTACAACACCACACTACACAACAACAACAAACGCTGGCTTGCCAATTACTTATCAGGCAGACAAGCATACGTACACTACTCAGGCAAGTCATCACACACATCACTCATACCCAACGGAGTCCCACAGGGCTCCGTACTATCACCCTCACTCTTCAATCTATACATGCACGACATACCCGAACCACCTCCAAACATCCACATTGCCTCCTACGCAGACGACGTCACAATAACATCCACTCACCCATCCGCAGACATATGTACTCAACAAGCGCAAACATATCTCAACACTTTATCACAATGGCTCACACTGAACAGACTCATAAATCCACAAACACATTAATGACCAGCCACACAAAGGAGCACCAATACAGACCAAACATCACATTAAACAACACCCCGATCCCGCACACACATGAAACAAAAATACTAGGGGTCACCTACAACACATCCATGACATTCGGCCCTCACATCAACAACATAGTGAACAACGCAAACATCATACTCAACTCACTTCGGGCCCTAGGCGGTACCAAATTCGGCAAAAACAAAGAAACACTAGCACCAACATACAAACAGTTCATCAGAACAGTGCTGGCTTATGCCAGCCCCGCCTGGGCACCCGCACTATCCAACACAAACGTACAGAAACTCCAAACACTACAAAACAAAGCACTCAGGATAGTCACAGGCTGCACACAAAGCACCCCCATAGAACACCTTCTTGCAGAAACAAAAATACTTCCCATAAAAGCACACCTCGACATGAGAGGAACACAATTCATAGCCGCAGCCATAAACAACGCACAACACCCGTGCCACTACCTACGCAACCACCCACCTACACACAGACAAATAGTGCAAACCCCACACAGATATTACACCAACATACTAGACACAATACCCCCACCCCAAGGCAACACCAGCATAAAAAAAAACGTACACACAATCATGACACTTAGAACGCTGGAGCTGGCCGGCAACAACAAAGTCCTTGGGCACCCACCACCTGATATAAGCAGCACAGAAACACAGCTCTCTAGACTGGAGAGAGTACACCTAGCCAGGCTTTGCTGCGGCCACCACCCCTCACTACAAACATACGCAAACAGAATAGGCCAAGCAGACACAGACACCTGCCCATCCTGCCAGAGAGCTCCCCACACAATCACTCACATTCTCCTGGAATATCCGCTCTGGCAGGACCTCAGACAACACCACCACATAACCTTGACCCTACAGCTCTGGAGCGACCCCCTGTCGGTGGTGTCGTACTTGCGCGAGGGGGGTCTATTGTAAAATTGAGACCGGGGAACCACAACAACAACAACAACACTCCAGGCCTCCAGCCAAATATCCTGCAAAACGTAATAACACTAAGTCAGCCCAAAATGTTTCCTTGAAGATCGCGTAGTTGGCTAGCTAGTTGCAGTCACATCAGAGCGGTCAAACTGCATTATCATGTGTTCAAGTTCAGGTGCCACTTAAGTGAAGACAAATGTTAATGTTGCTGTACAATCAGACTGTTTTTTGTAAACTTGTAACTTTTGTAAATCTACTTGGCTTGCCAAGTAGATATATTCCATGTTGCACACAAGGACACACAACAGCAGGAGCATTGAAGTACCGTACCATGGATTGCAGAACTTGGAAATTTTATGAAGTGGTATGTTTGCAAAGTGCAAACCACAATTTTTTCAATTAAACAAAAATACATGACAAAAGAGCCACAAGATTTCATTCTACTAAAATTATATGATATTAGAGTTGAGATATTTCAGAAAATAGTAGGACTTTTCCCAACCTGGTCTTAGCAAGCTGATGTTCAGGAATAGTGAAATCTTTTGGCAATGACAAATTATTTGATCCTATTGCATATTCAATATCGAAGAGACTGCTAGAAAATATGAAAAATACATGCAAATATCTAAAAAAGTTAACAAACCATGAGCAAATGTGACACAAGATGAATTATGACAATTTTGGGCATGATAAAAAAAAGTGAAAACCCAATTTTCATTTCAGATATCCTATGGAAAATAAAATAGAATAAGAAAATTATAAACATTTGCACAAGGATACTTTTTGAATTTTGACTTTATTATTTTCCAGGTCCTATAAATATTACAATAAAAGTTTGTCAAAACTTTTATTTCTACTGTCTCTACCATGTCACGCAAAAAGTTAGATATTCTCCTTGAAATAGAATTGCAAGTGCAGGAGAAGTGGGAGAAGGATAAGGTGTTTGAGGAGGATGCCCCACCAGCAGGTGGCAATGATGAGCCAAAATACTTGGTTACTTTCCCCTACCCATACATGAATGGCCGACTGCATTTGGGTCACACCTTCACCATCTCAAAAGCTGAGGTTTGTTTCTAAAACATGTCCAATTTTATGATATTTTGTCATGCAGCCTTCAACTGATCATCATGTGCTAGTGGAAGTCTAGAATCATTTGACTTGTTAAATTCTCACTAATTTCTATTTGTTCAATATAGTAAAAAACTTCAAATTGTGTAACTTATGTAAATTTTAAATTCTTCAATTATCTGTTTTTGTACAGTATTTACACAATAGAGAGAATTTTTGAAGTATATGCTTCTTGAATAGGAGAAAATTTGCTATTACTCATCCTTAAATTCTTTAAATTAGTTAATAATGATCCAATCTTGTCTTCTAATATCACATAGCTTGCTCTTGCACAAATAAATGTTTAAATGAGGAAAAATGTTTGAATGTAAATGGTAATTTTATTGTAAAGTCTGAGAGAATGCCTTAGCTGTCATGCTGATCTGCTGTTGGGATAAGGGAAGGCAGTTATTAGCTAACTTGCTATACATTATTTCTATTAGTCTGGTGACTCAAAAGGTCCATTATGTTGCTCAATTGACATTCAGTTATATACATATCCTTCAGTGTTGCAGTATCCAAAATATTTTCTTATGCTGTATTTTGATTTATATTATGAGATTTCACTGCATTTCTGCCTGAACATTTGATATACATAAAACCTTCATTAGCATCATTCATCCTGTGTCTTGAACTGATTAAGATTTATTATTTTAATGTCATTTGTCCATGGCTAGGATTATATGCAAAACCAAATATATATTTAATTTCAGTTTGCTGTTGGCTACCAAAGGCTGAAAGGGAAGCGATGCCTCTTTCCATTTGGCCTTCATTGCACTGGTGAGGAAAAGTGACTTCGTACTTTGTAATGGGAACAACTTTCTGGCTGTTGGCTACCAGTTTAACAGTAATATTTGCATACCTTATTTTTATGTATAATCTACAATTAAGTATTGAATTACTTCAGAGTTGAAAGCTGCTTGGATTCAGAATAATTTTTGAAGACAAGTATCTTGAATAGGTGTCTGTAGTTTGTATTCTATAAAATTTTATGAAAATGTTGATCCATGAAATGATGTTGAAAAATGTTGTCAAATATAGAAATTGAGGCAAAGGGATACTCGTTGAGAATCTCTTATATATAGAATTTGTCAGTTGTGGAACCTAGTCTCTTCAATGCATGTAATGTGTATGCTGAAAAAGCCAATACTACATTAAACTTGTAAATGGAATTTTTATCTCTATGATAATTTATTCTAAGGAATGCCAATCAAAGCAAGTGCTGACAAGCTGCTCAGGGAGCTCCAAGAGTTTGGCTTCCCACCACAATTCCCAGAGACGCAGGCTGAGGAGGCTCCTGTTGCCTCATCGGAACCTATCATTGTGGACAAGAGTAAGGGCAAGAAGGTGAGATTTTTCTGCTGCACAATTCAATTTTGTGCTGCAAGGTTCCTTTTTGTGCTGCAAGGTTCCTCTTTGGAAGGAGGGCTTCTATGTGTTCACTGAAACCCAGAAATACTATCTAGTTCCACCATAGAACTTTTTCTGAAGTCATTTGCCATTTTCACGACAAATCATGAAAATGTGCTTGGTAGAGTAGCCTGCCTTGGCAGGGTAACACGGTGTGGCAGGGTAACACGGTACACGTCGTGGCAGGGTAACACGTCGTGGCAGGGTAACACGGTGTGGCAGGGTAACACGTCGTGGCAGGGTAACACGTCGTGTCAGGGTAACACGGTGTGGCAGGGTAACACGTCGTAGCAGGGTAACACGTCGTGGCAGGGTAACACAGTGTGGCAGGGTAACACGGTGTTGCACGGTAACGCGTCGTGTCAGGGTAACACGGCGTGGCAGAATATATACGTATATACAGGAATATGTAATATGTGTATTATAGGAATCTTTTTGAGGTAGTGTTGCGTCGAGAAGAAACAAATATATATCAGTATGGACTTGGGCTCACGCTTCATTTTATAATTTGTCTGCCTGTTGAATATGCAACATAATGATAGCTCAATTATTTTGCAGAGTAAAGCCACCGCCAAGGCAGGAGGCTTCAAGTATCAGTGGCAGATCATGCGCTCGCTCGGCCTTCAAGACGAGGAAATAAAACAATTCACTGACACCAACCACTGGCTGGACTACTTCCCTCCTGCCACCAAGGTGGGTGGTAACTATGGCTGGACTACTCCAACCCTCCTCCGGCCACCAAGGTGGGTGTTAACTATGGCTGGACTACTCTAACCCTGCCCCTTGCCCACCAAGGTGGGTGGTAACTATGGCTGGACTACTCCAACCCTCCTCCGGCCACCAAGGTGGGTGTTAACTATGGCGCGACTACTCCAACGTCCAACACCTGCCCACCAAGGTGGGTGTTAACTATGGCTGGACTACTCCAACGTCCAGCCCTCCTTCTGCCCACCAAGGTGGGTGTTAACTATGGCTGGACTACTGCAACTCTCCCCCTGCCACCAAGGTGGGTGTTGGTAACCGTAACCAGACTCATGTCTCCCTCCCGTTGCCACCTCCCCTGTTTATAAAGATTCACCACGTTCATATGCTGAAAACTGAACAGTATGTGCAGTTGCCCAAAAATAAATTCTGCAGGAGCCATGCAAGATTCCCAAGTATACATTTCCCAGCATTGAATATTGCTCAAAACTTCCATTGTAAGTAGCAGTTGTGCGTTTATATGGACGTCCATGTATACGTTTCAATGCGGCCTACAACCAACCCGGTATTACATCATTAAAAACACCCGCTGCGATTCTTCAGCCAGTGCAGTCATTTCCCGTCCATATATTAGTCATTTTACTATGGAATTTACCGATCACTTCAAGTCATGAATCACAAGCTTATCTTGTTTCTCTTGATAGCTTCACTAGTGAATCCTACGAGTCTTAACCCTATTATCTTCATGTATCTGTCATGAATATACTAATATCATGTTGTATCGTTAGGGCCGATGATTTCACCCCTTATTTTCTTGTATGTGTTCCAAGGATCTAAATGTCAGGTTAAATCATATTTGCTATGATCTCATCCCTTTACCTTCTTGTACCTATTAGAATTATCCAAGTTTCATGTTATTTCTTTTGCGTTGTTGGTGTCATCCTGCTATCTTTTTGTATCTATTACAATTATATAATCGTGTTGTGTATTACTTGCCATTAATCTCATGGGCGTTCGATCAGCGTGACTTGCAGCGCGTTGGTCTGCACGTGGACTGGCGGCGGAGCTTCATCACGACCAACAGGAACGCTTACTACGACTCCTTCGTGCGCTGGCAGTTCCTCAGGCTCAAGGAGCGCGGCAAGGTCGCCTTTGGCAAGCGGTCGGTAAATTACGTAACACAGGAACCGTTTTCTCTGTAATCATTAGAACTGAAAATGTCAGTTTATGTTGCAGTATTTTTACATTTTTATTGCAATCACCCTAATTCACCTGCTGCAGATTCAACCATGCCATTTCAAAACTTTATGTAAGTTATTTATATCGTACATGAACCATTGTTTCAATGTAGAAATTATTATGACGGGTCCGCTCGGTGGTCGTTCGCACACAACAACCCAAGCTCACGTGCCAATCAGCTTATCTCACAAGCAGCTCATCTCATTCATTTTCTTTTGAGATGCCGCACTTTATTTACCTTCTATTGAAACACTTCATGCCTGCTAATGTGGAAACCTACTAACGTGGAAACCAAGGCATGTAAGCAAAGATGGTCATTGTGTTAGCGTATAAATATTGATTGAATGTTAGCTTTAAAACATTTTTTATGCAGTTATTCATCATGTGATGGCCTTAGGTGCCAGCTCATGTTGTATCACAAAATATCTCGAGCTTCATTCACCAACTACGAAACAACAATAATAACTAAACTTAATAAATTAATTTTTGTTTCTGCCTTTTTCAGATTTTATGCTTGTGGGCATTTATTTTCCTCGACGTTCTTGCCTGGCTAACTAGCTCTAAGTATTTAGGTGAAAAATTTTTGGACAAGAATTTGTAAAAAAATTTTTTTTAAATTTTCGTTAAGCCTTTTAGTAAGAAATGTAAGCATAACATTTCGAATGAATAATTCATACTCTTGCTTTGGTGGTGAAGAATTGTGATTATGTGTGTTTTCAGGTACACAATCTACTCCCCAAAAGATGGACAGCCGTGCATGGACCACGACCGCGCGTCGGGCGAGGGCGTCGCGCCTCAGGAGTACACACTCATCAAGATGCGTGTCGTCGAGCTTCCCTCTGCCCTCGCTGCCCTCAAGTCTGCGGCGTCGAGGCCCGTGTTCCTGGTGGCCGCCACGCTCAGACCCGAGACGATGTACGGTCAGACCAACTGCTGGCTGGGTCCTGATGTTAGTTACGTCGCCGTGCAGTCCCGCCGAGACGAGGTGTTCGTGTGCACAAGACGCTCGGCAACAAACATGGCATACCAGGGAATCCTGAAGAAAGACAACGTGGTCGAGGTTTTGGGCGAGTTCAAGGGGAGCCAGCTAATGGGTGTGAAACTTTCAGCCCCCATGACGACTTACCAAGTGATCTACACGCTGCCCATGCTCACAGTCAAGGACGACAAGGGCACAGGAGTTGTAACTTCTGTGCCTTCAGACTCCCCTGATGACTATGCTGCGCTCAATGACATCAAAAACAAGCCTGCGCTCAGGGAGAAGTACGGAGTGACTGAGGAGATGGTAGCTGTAGAGCCAGTGCCCATCATCGACGTGCCGGAGTATGGCAGTCTGTCAGCTCCCTCGATCTGCCAGAAGATGGGAATAAAATCTCAAAACGATAAAGACAAGTTAACTGAAGCTAAAGAGAAAGTTTACCTCAAGGGTTTCTATGAAGGGGTGCTGCTCGTTGGAGAGCACAAAGGTAAAAAAATACAAGACGTGAAGAAAACTATCCAAGATGCGCTAGTTAGTAAGAACGAGGCCGTGATGTACCAAGAGCCTGAGAAGCTTGTGATGTCGCGGTCAGGTGAGGAGTGCGTGGTGGCGCTGTGTGATCAATGGTACCTCACATACGGCGAGCCCAAATGGCGCCAGCAGGCCCAGACCGCCCTCGAAAATCTGGACACTTTCCACGACGAGGTGCGTAAAAACTTTGAGCACACACTGGACTGGCTCAAGGAGTACGCCTGCTCTCGGACCTACGGTCTGGGAACCAAGCTGCCGTGGGATGAGGCTTGGCTCATAGAAAGCCTTTCCGATTCCACGATCTACATGGCCTACTACAGCGTGGCTCACATCCTGCAACGTAACTTCGATGGCTCACAAGGAAATGAACACAACATCAAAGCCGAGCATATGACACCAGAAGTGTGGGACTACGTCTTCTGCCAAACCGACAAGATAACAAAAACCTCCATCAAACATGATGTCCTGCGAAAGATGCGTCGCGAGTTTGAGTACTGGTACCCTGTTGACCTGAGAGTTTCTGGAAAGGATCTCATACAGAATCACTTGACTTACTACCTGTACAACCACTGCGCCATCTGGCCCAAACAGCCAAAGCTCTGGCCGCAAGGCATTCGCGCCAACGGCCACCTCCTCCTCAACTCTGAGAAAATGTCCAAGTCGACCGGAAACTTCATGACTCTTGCAGACGCGCTCGACAAGTATGGCGCTGACGCCATGAGGCTGGCCCTCGCCAACGCTGGAGACTCCATTGAAGATGCTAACTTTGAAACAACTGTGGCAGACTCCGCCGTGCTGCGTCTCTGGACCTTCGTGGAGCTCGTCAAGGAATTGATCGCTGAGATGCCCACTATGCGCACCGACCAAACCTTCAACGTCAGCGACAAGATGTTCCTTGCAGAAATGGATCTTAAAATCCGCGAGTCGGATGAGAACTATTCTGGCCTTCTGTTCAAAGAGGCCCTTAGAACGAGCTACTTTGAGTACAGCAATTTATTCCACCAGTATCGTGAGCGCGTGTCTGTTGATGGCGGCCTGCACAAAAAGGTCGTGGAGCGCTATCTGGACACACAAGTGCGTATCTTATCACCTATTTGCCCTCATGTGTGCGACTATGTTTGGCGAGATTTGTTGGACAACAAAACATCTGTGCTACGAACGAAGTGGCCCGAGTCTTCAGAGCCTCAATTGGCTCTAGTTAAAGCCTCGTCTTACTTGGCCGACATCTCGCACACCTTCCGACTTAGGATGAAATCAGCCATGACCTCAAAGAACAAGAAGGTTATCGACTCTTCGAAGAACATTGAGAAGCCATCGCATGGCACAATTTGGGTTGCCAAATCTTACCCTGACTGGCAAAGTAGCATCCTTGCCAAAATGGAGCAAATGTACGTGTCTAATGGGAATGCGTTGCCTGACAACAAAGTTATTTCCCAAGCACTGGCAGGAGTGCCAGATCTTAAAAAGTACTCGAAGAAAGTGATGCCGTTTGCTCAGACGGTGAGGGAGAGGGTTGTCCTCAGCGGCACATCTGCCTTCAAGAACACTGTAGATTTTGACGAGGCTCAAATCATCCGCGAGTCTATCGGTTACTTGAGGGAAACACTCGAGCTCGAGTTTCTAGAAGTAAAGTGGACGGACACATGCGATGACGACCGTATTAAGAGCGACGTAATCCCAGGTGAGCCCTTCATGACGTTCACTAGCGCCCCTCACGTCGTGACGAGCGTCATCAACCCCGTCGCCCACACCGCTCTTTTCAGCTATTTGCTCCCCGTCTTTGACCAGGACTGTGCATCTCGCATCGTCGCCAGGATGGTCAGGCGGGAGAAGGCGATCAAACCCTCCATGAAAATCTCCTTGTATCGCTACACTGATCCTGTCATGGGGCCCAGAGTCATCCCCAACATGAGCGACATCCTGCGTGGCACCGAGCTTATCAAGGACTCGGATGTGTTCGTGCTGAAGAACGACAGCATTTATGTTGCTGGCAAACCACTTGGCGAAAAAATGTTGTTCTTAGTATCACCTTGATCACGCCAGGTGGGATTAACCATTGAATGCCAATAAATAGATTTTTTAGTTTGTCTTTCTTTATTCCGTGGATTTTCTGGATAACGCGGATTTACTGCGAATATTTGGGTTTATTCTTTGGTTCTGTCTTAGCAAGATGAGAGTGCAAGAAACGATTCAAGGTAAGCTCAGGGACAAGATGAGGCCTTCCTATGATTTACAGTTTATTTTTCAGATATGGCCTGTTATCAAACATTATTTATTTTACATAAATTTTTATGTTCTAGTAGTCTTATAGGCCGATACCTTAGGGATTTTCTCAGAATTATTTGTTTCATTTAATGTTGACCAATAGGAGAATAAGTCTAAAAAGCGTCCAATATATTTGAATCGATTCCCGGGTGTTAATCATGACTGGCAAGTGCTCAACTGGCGCACAATGTTTGGGTCCGTAATTTCTTGTGTGCACTTAGTTGTAATCTTTTCTCATATTTAAACTATTCCTAATATCACGTGCATCATTTCCCTCATATCAAGTCTTCGCTGTTGATGATATAAGCGTCAACTCGAGAAAAAATATTTAGGATTGCATGGGCTTGCCGAGGCTTTGGATTAGGGCCGCTTGACACAAGAGGTCGGGAATCTTCTGTACTGTCAAACAGCAATTGTTTCAATTCCTTTGGTGTCTTTTACTGCAATTGCATTAACGCGTACGAATAATTCAGTTTCAATTCATTACAATCAGTTTTCAACCTTTGTACGTAGGCGGTCAGGAGCTGAAACTAAACCCTTATTCAAGGAGACCATGTAATTTGACTTGCAAAGTAATTGTGTTTGCCCAATAGCCCATCGATATTATTGCCGGTATGTATCATTTCGTTGTGTGCGAGATGATTGAACGTTTTTTCGGAAATATTGAAAGGTTATGCAGTAAATTGAGCGGCTGTCGAGTTCCAGGCATTATGCAAGCCATATAATTGTGTGCAAACTGTGGGCACCATAGTGAAAAATTTTACCAGTCCGGGTGGGCAGCTAGAACTAATTCAACGACGCGTCATCACGGGTGATCCGGAATTATCAATTGTTGAGCATATAGATTCGTGCTCAAGTTACACCTGCTATGTGGGATGTGAAATTAAAATATAACATGTCGGAAGAAATGGCATGATACACCGCAAGCATTACCAGAATTCTGTGAAGTTAGAAATATCAAAAAGAAATCAAATGAACGAGTTCGCGGATGTGAAATGAGTACATTCAAAACCCAAACAACTTCCATTCAACGTGTCGACTTGATGGAATGTGGAGGCCTCTGCGGTGGCGTGTGCGTAATTTATCGCTACCTCAAATGTCATATCGCATTCAGAAAGGTTCACTGGTTACGAACAAAAATATTGTGAATGGTATTGTGAAGAAATTTTATTTACGATAGCAGCAGTTGGAGCTGTCGCAAAGCATGAAATGGAGAAAACTGAACGCTCTCTGAAAGAGTAAAAATTCAAGTGCAATATTCATGTGACTTATCGAGCGTCGAATTCTGCAATTAGAAGTGAAGACGTGTCGTAGAGGTACAAATGAAACGAAAAATGTTTACATAATTTTTTAGGTACGAAAAAATCAATATGGCAAAAATTAATTGCAAAGGAATGGCAGGATATCCATTTGATTCGTTTTTTTCTTCAGACATAAACGCCAACTTCAACTCAAAGTAAAAAAGCCTGAAACCAACCATAACAATAATCTGAGGCACTCTTGGAAGTAAATTTGCTTTGAGCACAAAACTGAAAAGATTTAGCGTATAGGTTATTTATGTGAAAGAATCACGGTCATATTTTTGAGAGCCTTTCAATTGCAATTGATTAAAAATATGTCGACGAATCCATGCAATATAGTAGATATGTCCACCATTAAGTCAGAAGCCTGAACACAACACAACCAGCATACGCTGTTAAATAAAATAATATCAGAACTTGATTGCGCATATGAATCAGAGACCACGTTACCAGCCTCCTGTGTTATTTGACTTTGAATTACACAAATGGCCCTGAAAATTTTGTCGAATCCAACTAAATATCAGTAAACTTGCCTAATATCTGCTAGTCTCGTACTTCAAGTAACCTCAAGTTAATATTAAGTTCAGGTCATTAGTTCAAGATAGGCAGTTAATGCGCAGCTGTGTTCACAACGGAGGCAAATGCAACACAGACGCAAATATTGCAGAAATACACACACGCACATTGGACGTTCCAGGTCGGTATTAAATAAACAAAAAATTCACAAAACCCAGTGCTGCAAATATCACATTTTCCCCAAAGCTGAAGTTGCTATCAACATAACAGCACCTCTCTACAATAACCTCGCGGATACAAAAACTATGGTAATCTAACAATTACAATATATTTACTTGAAATCAGATGTTTTAAAACTCACACTCACGCTTCCGTAATTAAAACAAATCAAGCCACACAGCTATTGCTAAAATTCAGACATACAACAAAATTTATCTCGATAGCTACATCACCAACATTCATCATAATTTAAAGTAAGTAATGCCTGTATTTTCTATTGGAGTGGTGAGCAAAAATATACTGCAGTGCGTAACTAGCTCCATGGAATGATTCAGTGAAATTAATTCCTAAAATAAAAAATCAACACAAGATACAGACTCACCGGAACTCAAAAGCCATTGCAAGCTTTCGGCCCCAACGAGGGTTTCAAACACAAATAAATTTCAAATAGTCAGCACCGACATCACAACTTTACATCAAATGTCCAATTTAGGAAATAAATTTGTGCAAAACGGCTGTTCACTTAAGAATTGAACAGTACTAACAACTGTGAATAAAAACACAAGTTGGATGAACCAATTGGTACAAGTTACCTAGAATTCAGTACCCAAAAATGAGTAGTTATGATAGATTAAAATTTGAAATAAATCTTAGTTTTTAATAGCATTAATTCACAAGTTATATGTTACGACAATTTTTTATTGGGCAGCTATTAAATAGGAGGAAAAATGAGCACAACACGAGCCAAAAATCCTGAAAAGAATCTATTAGATAAGTTTACAGCACACGTTTAACAGTTTAACATTAACACTAATTGTAAAAAAATAATTGCGCGTTTATCAGTGGCTACAATGGGACCTTATGATGGGGAACCAACAAGCCAGCCAGGCAGAGAGCCTTCAACAACAGTAAGACACGACCTTGCTGAGCATCACTCAACAGCAGTGATTGATAGAGCCCACATCATAGGGCCCTGGAATCATTCAAATGACAGAGAACTACCAGATAAACTTCATCAGCAGAGGCAGTATTTGTTTTAACAGTAATGTTCTGCAGGTTACCAGGAAGTGCTCATGTGCATTTGTAGGTCACAAAGTAGAAGGAGATATCACATAACCTAGAGGTCAGTGACAGGCCTGGTTTTTATATAAACAAAGATAATGATAATAAGAGCTAATACTGCCAGGGAAGGTAACGCCACAGTAAAAACCTCCTCCCTACTCTTCGTGAAGGCCTCTATACGCTCCTTCTTCTCCTTTGGAGATTCCTTCCGCTTGCATTCTTCGAGCGTACGTCTTCTTGAAACATTTGTGAAACTTTTCATCTTGTACGTCTTCTGACACCTTTCAACCTGGAGGTAAAAGAATGTTTACATACTTATTTTTACCTGAGACAGATGACACATCAAAATAAATAAATTATTCATGCACATGCATGACAACCCAACAACCACATTATGAACCAGGGTTAGTGATTTTTTCTATTAAAAAAAAAATCAATGATTTTTTTTTATTTTTTTCCATGATTTTTATTTATTTATTTAATTTTTAACAATTTTCAGCTTTTTTGTCTTTTTGAAATGTTATTTTCTAAGTTGCAATTAGCCTACAAACAATAATGGATCAAAATGGATGGCTAAAAAGGGCAGTTATTGCCTTCAAGAATGGCCAAGGTGGTGTTTACCACTTTGGGACTTTTCGGTAAACAATTATTGATAAATCTATTCATTAGCTTTGTAAAGTTTGTATGGAGCAAGGTAACAAGCTAAATATTGACCATTTAACTGGCTGCAATATACAACAACACTTCAGGAATGCAGATCTTCTAAACATTGAAGAGATTCATAACAGATAGGTAGCTGATAGCACAGTGCACAGCACTATCAATAGATCTACCAGTTTTATGTAATATAAATCCACCAGACTTTACCCTCTAAAGTCTAAACACATCGACTAGTAGTGACTGAGTGACTGATTGCCACTCTTCCCATTTGATTCAGACCAATAATCCTATACTAAACATAAACTGAACCATAACCAAACAAGCCTCAAACGACTTGAAACAAGACTAATGTTATGAGAAAAGCTAACACTGTTTGAAATAAACATGTGCACAATTCAAACATTTTATTTCCATTCACTGCATTTATTTATTATATATATAGTTTATAATTTTAGTTGGTTTGCTTCTAGATTTAAATTGACATATTTATAGATTGAAATTAAATATTTTAATTAGAATACTCATATTAGGGTGGAAATTCTTTCTAATTGCCTAAAAGGTCAATACAATCTCAACTTCTCAATATACAGGGTTGGGCAGAACCAATTGAGCAGTTTTGAGGCGAAATAAAAGAGTAATGGAGGTACATAAAGAAGAAAGTTTATTTTCTTGGAGGTTAGTATAACATATCATTTAGAATACTTATGTTTTGAAAACAATATCTGGAAGATGGTATCCGTTAGCTGCAACACTGTTGGAGTCGTCCTTGGAGGAGGGAGTAACCGTGACAGTGAATTCCGAACGCTATGCTGAAATGTTGCAAAATTTCTTGCAGCCCAGGATGGAAAACATTGTTGAAAATGAGGTATGTGGTTCCAGCAGGATGGGGCTACAGCTCACACAGCCCGAATGTCACTCAATGTTTTGAAACGCATGCTTCCCGGACTCTGGTGTCTCTGAGGGGTGATTTACAGTGGCCAGCGATGTCACCTGATTTGAGCATTTGTAATTTCTTTCTTTGGGGACATCTAAAAAAGAGGGTGTTCAGAAGTCGCCCTCACACCCTACCACAGCTAAGGGAATGGATTCTGGCCATACCTCGCCTTATTATACCTCGATTTATGGCCATACCTCGCCATATGTGTGAACGTGCTGTAGGAAACTTCCGAGAACGACTCCAACAGTGTGATGCAGCTAACGGACACAATCTTCCTGATATTGCTTTCAAAACATAAGTATTTTGAATGGTATGTTATGCTAACCTTGAGGAAAATAAACTTTCTTTTTTATGTACCTCCATTACTCTTATTTTGCCTCAAATTCAATCGGTTCTGCCCCACCATGAATAAGCTAGCTAACACATTTAAATTGTATGTTGTAATTATTATATAACAAATAGTCAAATAGTTAGTTAAAGACTATTTATAGCCTTATAAGAATTAGCTAAGCTGCTAGCTATGTACAATGTATTGCACTCTTGATGCCTCTGTACCAAGAAC